CACAATAGGTTCCATGTTACACAGATGATGTACTTTCTACAGCCTACTGTAACAGTACCAATGGTAGTCTAACCATCCAATGTACAATACAGCTACATAAACCACAATAGGTTCCATGTTGCACTGAAATTCTCGCAATTTGATCACGATTGGCTTTTAAGAAGAACAATAGATCTACTTTTTGATTTGATAATCGAAGACAGAATGATGTTTTCGTTCGTCTTTTGTAGATTTACAAAGCCAAATGCTTTTCCATGCTTGCCTTGGCTTAATCTCGTACCCAGAGCCTGCGTTTCTTTTGGCCTGCGGCGAAGAACGAGGGCTCTGGCATAATCCATATTTTGGCGCATGCGCAATTTTCGGAAAGTGAGATATAAACGGACAAAATAAGCAAAGTAAAAATTAAATCGAAGTCAAAATCAAAGTACAAATCATAGTACAAACCAAAAATCGGTGAAAAAAAATATTCCTAATTTTTAGCAAGTCTTTCACGAGTGCGCTGTTATACCGGAAGTCCAAGAAATCCTGGTCTCAAAAAATGGATTATGCCAGAGCCCTCGTTCTTCGCAGCATGACAGAAGAAACGCAGGCTCTGGGTACGAGATTGGCCTTGGCTTTTCTTGAAATGAGTTCGAGCATGCGCCGTGAGGACGTGCTCGCAATATTACTAGATTCCGGTTGTAGGGTTTCCCAGGGCCTCTGACGGAGAGAAACGACAACCGAGGAGGATCTGGGAACGAGAATGTACCGTTTTCTCAGTTCTATCAGTGCGAGGAGCTCAATTTGAAACTCCATGGGTTTTAAAGCAGAGCAGTTCGTAAAAAGTGTCGATGAAAACCTCTTCTGTGCAATATGGTAAGTTTAGTATGCAAGATAGTATCAGCTAATTTATGTTGGAACACACGGAAAACCATTAGACACCATACTTTATGCTAGCCGTAATTAACTATTCGGTAGAATGTCTAGATTGTTTTACACGACGCAGCTGCTCTAGACTAAGTTATCACGGCCAATTTTTGTACATATAAGTTAATGATATATTAGAGTACGCATGTTTTGCTTGTGTAAGAAAGAGGAATCGGTTTTAATGATCCAAATAACAACATAAAGAACTTTAATTAATTCAGAGCTGAAGGTGTTGTTTGATCTGCTGTTGAGTGCATTGAAAAACAATGAACGCACGAGGTCGTCACAAATCATGCACTTACTGGAGGCTACATTGGTGTCCTTTTATATCAACTTCAAAACACTGAAAAAAAGGCTTCAAACTGCATGAAAACTATACAAACATCTACAATAACACATTTATTATATGACGTTTCTAAGAAAATAAGAATATTTTAAGTTAAGTGAAAAATGTGAAGAATATGAGGAGTTACTGTAAGTGATTGGAAATCGCAAAAAGTCCGAATACTTAACTTCTTATCGCCGCGGCCGCGTTTTAATCAATGAAAAAAAAGAACAGTTCGTCAGAGTACACCTCGGAATATTTAATAGTAAGAAAGTTATCAGCCGTTTTTGAAAGTTGAAACTTTTTTAACCAAATGTCACGATTGTCAAATCAAAACAAAACGACATAACATTGGTGTACTCTGGTGAAAATTTTCTAAATTATATATTGTTTAAGCTTGCAAACTTTCTTCACAGACATTGGTTAAAACCCTTTGACAGAATTGCGAATTTTCTGGACCCTTATGTTATGAATTATACGTTCTTAGCTGAATACTAGAGAAATCACGCCACATTTGGCGCCAAAATCCCTTATAACGACTCCATGCGGTGTGGCTAAGTAATCTTAATTATTACCCGCGGATTTTCATCCAAAAATGTAGTCTAAATACAGTTCCATTCAATGTCTTAAAGGCTTTAGTATTAAGAATAAAAACTAGACGTTTTTGACAGAAAGTTATTTGGAGTGCTGCGAGGCGTAATAGTATGTACAGACGGTTTATTGCTGCTAATTTTATGAGCTATTGGAAAGTAAAGAAAGCGATTTCCAGTGTTTTGACTTGCAACATATTTATTGCATTTACGTTATGTCAAAGCAACTTATACTAACAAAAAAGCAAACTGATTCCCCCGCGTTAAAAAAATGAACTTCTTAGGGATGGTTCATACTTTAAGGTGTTTCAATACAGTTTCGTGATCACCAAACAGAACTTTTTCAATCGTTCGGTTGACAATGTTCTGTTTGCTGGATCATTTTAGAAATTATACCAGTTGTTGCTCTTGGTTTGAAGTTTGTACTAATGTATATTTTATTAAAGTCAAAGTCTTCAACGCAAGAAAATCGGGAAAAATCGAAAATTGGAAAAAACAAAAGTGCGCGCGATTCAGATATGCTGTAGAAAAACTGTTAACTCCTATGAATCCCCAATTCATGACAAACAAAATATCAAGGATTTAAAGGAATTCTTATGTTAGATTTGGAGAAAATCGCACGAACATTTCATACTCTCAGTTTTGTTTATCTCTTTTGCGCACTCAGTTTAAAAAACTACTTTTGAATAGAATTATTCAAAAATATCCTAAAATGTTGCTTTGTTCTTGTTTTTAAACTGTGTAAGTTTGATCAACTATTTCCTTGCTGGTCTTGAGAACGAATTTTTTTTCGAAGAGCATTTTTAAGTAAAGATTTAGCAAATCGTCAAAGTTTTGCGTTTTCCACGATTTCTCATGAACATTTGAAAAAAAATTATCTACGTCTTTTCAAGGATATATGATCTGTACATGAAAAAGATCATGTCGGTTGATTCATTCTAATATTTTTAAAACGGACCATGAAGTTGGGAAGTCACAAGGCAAGAACTCTACAGTCTCTTTTCGCAGTTCATAAGTTTATGCTAATATATTCCTGACAACTATCAGTGCATTCCTTCGTGATTGCTCTCGCTCGATGCCTTTTGTATTTTTTAGGGTGCAAACCCATTAGTTATATATAAAATCAAGTTACTCATCAAACAAAAACAAAGACAGACAATTAAACAGACAAGAATGAATAAAAGAAGCAGACAGACAGACAAGAGAAAATAGAGTAACTTGATTTTATATATAACTAATGGTTTGCACCAGCAAAAGCAATCACGAAAGAATGCACTGATAGTTGTCAAGAAACATTAGCATAAACCGCGAAAAGAGACTGTAGAGTTCTTGCCTTGTGACTTACCAACTTCAAGGGCCATTTTAAAAATATTAGAATGAATCAACCGACATGATCTTTTGCAGTTACAGACCATATATCCTTGAAAAGACGTAGATAAATTTTTTAAAAAATCGATCGAGCCGTTCATGAGAAATCGTGGAAAACGCAAAATTTCGACGATTTCCTAAATCTTTACTTAAAAATGCTCTTCGAAAAAAAATTCGTTCTCAAGACCAGCAAGGAAATAGTTGATCAAACTTACACAGTTTAAAAACAAGAGCAACAGCAACATTTTAGGATATTTTTGAATAATTCTATTTAAAAGTAGTTTTTTAAACTGAGTGCGCAAAAGAGATAAACAAAACTGAGAGTATGAAATGTTCGTGCGATTTTCTCCAAATCTAACATAAGAATTTCTTTAAATCCTTGACATTTTGTTTGTCATGAATTGGGGATTCATAGGAGTTAACAGTTTTTCTACAGCACATCTGAATCGCGCGCACTTTTGTTTTTTTCCAATTTTCGGTTTTTCTCGATTTTCTTGCGTTGAAGACTTTAATTTTAATAAAATATACATTAGTACAAACTTCAAACCAAGAGCAACAACTGGTATAATTTCTAAAATGATCCAGCAAACAGAACATTGTCAACCGAACGATCGAAAAAATTCTGTTTGGTGATCACGAAACTGTATCGAAACACCTTAATATAAGCCGATAAGCATAAGGGTAAGAAACACAAGTGTGAACCGGGCTTGCACCAAGCATAACCATAAGCATGAAGGAATGGAAACTTTTCCATGTTCTTATGCTTATGCTTGTGAACCAGCCCTTAAATAGCGATCTGATGTAAGTCAAGTTTTCTTTTTTTTTATTTAATCATACAAATCTTCCAAGCCACGAAGTATTTGATAATCCTGTGGGCAGCAAAGATGGTCACCTATTCTGCAAGGATTGCGTTCACATATGGCTCAAGAAAAATACGACATGTCCTCTACTGGGTATTGGTTACTTGTCCAAAAAATATCTTGTTCCTCAATTTACCGTGAAGGGAATCATAGACAATCTCGAAGTGTACTGTCATCCATACGGCACACAAGACAAGCCAAGTGACGGTTAGTGAAGGTTTCATACATTGCAGGTTTCATATTTTTGCCCATGAGAAGGGAGGAAAAATTTCTATAAAACTGAAGAAATATCTCATTGAAATTTTCAAATTCCAAAGATAATCAATCAAACAGTCAAGGAAGGAAGGAAGGAAAGACAGAAGGAAGGAAGGAAGAAAGGAAGAAAGGAAGGAAGGAAGGAAGGAAGGAAGGAAGATTCCTTAAACACACCTATTTCATTCCAGTTCAAAAATCTGAAATCTTAAATCTGAGACCAATTAACATGCTGCAAACTGCAATATATTTGATCTATGCCGAGCAACGTAATTTACTTTTAGATTGGAAGATGAAGCATGCAATTTGAGTTAGGCCCAGCTGGCTAAACGAGGAAACACGTCGGTTCCAGAAACATGTTTCCCTAAATGTTTCCTAAGATGGCAAAGCTGTCAGGAAACATCGCGAAACAATGTTTCCATGCGTCTTGGAAACATGAAATGTTTCTGCCGCACAGCAAAAACATTTTTTACGTCTTGGAAGCAAATTTGTTGCACGCAGCAATGTTTCGCATGTGGGTAAACTGGGAAACATCGAGGAAACATGCGCGCGGTAAACATATTTCCTCGATTAGCCAGTGCCTTGGGAATGTGAATCCGAAAACATTTTTTCTTATCGGTTTCTTTAACTCCAAACGTTACATGGCTCCCAACCAACTATATCACCCTCTTCCGATGCAACACTTACGCGTGAATTATATTGGGATATTGGTTGTCTGAGTGTGCTTGACAAAAGGGCTTTTTCATGGTAATACATTTTAGTGGAAATATTTTTGTAAATGTTTTTTCGTCTATTGATAAAGTGATGCGACCATTATAGCAATTTTCAATGTTCTTTGAATTCGATGCCCATGAGCTACAAGTTGAAATCTGTTTTCTTTTTCGTTGCCGTCAATCCAATATAATGGTATCAGTCGTAATATTCAAAGCTGTC